CTTTGCCCCGCCCTATACCCCTGGGGATAACCTCCGTTTGACAATTTCCCACCCTGGGATATTCTCTTATGCAATGTTCCCGGGTTTCCCGGGGGGGATGGTAACAGTACGAATTGACTCATACATAACGGGAAGATTTATGGGCCACATCCGTGCAGACATTTGAACAATGTATTTTCCTATATACAATAAAATTGCCATTACAGTTTGTATACATCTGAGTATGGATGTATGGGTTATGTAAAAATGATGAGTATATGATGAATTTGTTCACCTGTGATATATGTCAATTGTCTTCGTATATTACCACAGAGTAAAGATATATCAGAGAGGAACAGACACCTCGATAACGTGAATTTTTGTGTCACGCGTTCCACGCAGGTTCCACGCGCCACGCAAAATCTTCCAGCCAGTGCCGTCGCTGAAATTTCATAGCAAACGATAGGGAAAACACCGTTCGAAAGGTGAAAATCGCTTTTTTTAAAAAAATGAGATACCCATGGAAGTTTTGTTCAATAAATTCTTGTAGAATAACGGTAAGGGATCACTTTTATTGATTTCTTTTTATTAAAAATTATTATTTTGCAAAAGTTTTTTCCCCCTATCTATTCCTTATTAAAATCGTGAAAAGCACTGGCTGGAGGTTTCAGATGCTCATATATAAAAAAACGAAGCAGCAAATGATATAAATGCCTCAAAATATAACTCTTGCATAAAAAAACATGTTTACTTCTATAATACGTATAGTTTTTCCTCTGCATGGTCAAAATTTAATAAAATAGCGAATTAATATAGTTTTCTATAGTAAATAGACTGAATATATCGGCGTGACACAATTTGCCGCATGTTTCCTCTCTGGTATATCTTTTCTCTGTGATATTACCGAGTATATATGCTCAATTACCGTATGTGATATATGAAATAAGTAAAAATTGCGTGTTTTACACATATTAATTGGCGTAGTATATGTCATATGTGTTTAAAATGCTGTGCCTGTGTTCATGCTGTCTAGCTACAGTTTAGTTTCTTTGCCATTTTCTAAGGCCTCAGGATCTTTGATAACATCTCCAGATTTTGACTGCTCTTCCGGTTTGTACAAATACCAGGATAAAAAGTAGAAGGAAGCTGAGAAAACTAGAGAGAAATATAAACAGTAATGATTTATTTAATTGACATATCCATATCTATGCCTCATCCATATATAGCAATTTCTATCCATACCGTATCTATGAATAACTATGCATACCTATCCACAGCTATCTATATTTACTCACATCTATCAAAGTTTATCAATATCTATCAATATCTACTCATGTTTATTAATATATATCAATCTTTATCCATATCTCTCCATGTTTATCAATATCTATGCCAGTCTGTCAATGACTATATCAATATCTATCCATATCTGTCTACCATTATTAATTCATACCTACTAATATTTATCCATGTCTATTCATATCTATCCATATGCATCCATACTTAACAATATATATCAATATCTATCCATATCCATCCATATACATATGCATGCATGTCTTACATACTCTCGAAATCCCGTACTTACATGTTAGTGTGACTCCGAGGACACAAACTGCATAACTCAAGCTGTCAATATCATAATCAAAGCATCTCCCCTTCACACCACATGTATCTTGCCATACAGTACAATACGAGTCAACTACATGACCAAATATTATGGGACCAGGCATAAGGCCGATTGTTTTCATGAAAATATATTGTATGCCATTAGCAAAAGCACGTTTGTTGTCAGGAACACATCTAGAAAGAGGTGATTATCATATAAAACTCAAAGAAGCACTAGAATTTTTTTTCAAAATCCTTCAGTACAATACAAATTTGTATTGATCTTGATTTGTATGGAATCCAATTTTCATACTAATTGCAATTTTCATGCTAATTGCAATTTTCATACTAATTGCAATTTTCCTTCTATGGATATAATATGGAGATAGTATGGTCTATGGATATAGAGCGTTTGCACATGACGTCACAGCCGCCATGTTGGTATTCCAATTCAAATTTGGTTGAGTTGGTCCCGGGGAATGAGTGCAAACGCTCTATACTATTTAGTGATGCAATCACAAATTCCATCGTATGAATTTCATTACTTTTTTCCAGTGAAGTGGGTTAAATACCTGTGATGTTTTGTAGTCAAACCGAATCTTACAATCAGACTGTAGTACCAACACACTGTCACTTTTGAGGACAAGATCATTTGTAGTTTTCTATCATACTTCTCAAATTCATTAATAATTCATGAGCAATTCAGCCAATGATAATCACCTATTTGATCACAAGATGCCATTTGGATAACTGACCTCGATTCATTACAACTCGAGCTCGTGTTTCACCGGGATATCCAAACACTCGAAAACAATTGTATATCCCGGTGAAACACTCGCTGTCATTGTTCATATATCACATCTTACCTCATTGTAACTGTCTTGTCCGGCACCATTTTAGCAAATTGTAGCACAATATTTACCGCCAGCAGTGAAATAAAGAATATAAAATTCTTGCAGTCTCGGTCACACATTCCAAACTTTGCCGTTCCGAACTCAGAACTTGATGAGGAACTTGCAATACATGAACAGTTGGCAAATGTCTAAAGAGAAAATGTTGATAGTTTTTGAAAAAAAATAATGTATATTTTGTGAGCATGTAAGGAAGCAGGAAGCGTTACGTGTTAGCAGACGATGGTCAACTTCGAAAATGTTGACACTTAGCAAGAAAATTAACTGCATCTTTCAATCCTATTTTTTGGTCTTCAAATAAACTACTATACTGTATAATGAAAATAATTATGAGGCAATTTTTAGTTTCAACGTTGCGTATTTGCCATGAAAGTGTTCAAAACCTAAAATTGTTTTAGGCGTCCCCCCCCCCCCAAAAAAAAATTACACTTTGTTTTAACTTTATTTTGTAGTAAATAATAGGCGTACCATCTCTTTGGCGTTTCTCTTTGGCGTACCATCTAAAATCTCTTCGTTTTAGCATTATTTTACAGATAAAGCACTAAACATACTTTTTAAGTCCGTTTGCCGCTTGAGAAGCTTTAAAAGAGGTTATTTCGCTGGCCTCAGAGGGACAAAATGTAACAAAGCAACGGTTTCACTAACCCTATTCCAAACACCAACTCTAACCCTAACCCTAACCTATCCCTACTCCAAGTTTGTTTCTAGACCAATCTTGAAGAAAAAATGTTTGACGAAATGTCATTCTGAGGTCAGCGAATTAATAACTTCCGCTCAGTAAACACGAAGCTCTAGGAAGATGTTCTGTGATTGGTTGATTATGACAATAACAAAAGACGTAATTGGCTTACATAAACAAAAGGAACATTGTTCTTGCTTCATTCTTTAGAAAACCATTCTATAGCTTATTCTTTTGTCATTGTCATAATCAACCAGTCACAGAACATCTTCCTAGTGCTTCGTGCCGACCCAACTTCTTCCGTGTTACGTAACATACAAAAGGCTAGCATTGCGCTGTACTCCGTTATACAGGGTGTCCCCCAAAAAAGTGACACTATAGAAATTGTTCTTAAGCCGCTCTTAAACGCGCGTGATTACACCCCTGGGAAGTTAATGAACTTGTATTTACATTTAAGCATTTTAAAACGTTTTCGCTTTGTCCAAATATTTTAACGCCCGAGTCAAGCAAAAGGATTACACTAATAAACGGTTTGCTTTTTTATTTTAAATTCCAGAAGCAGAAGTTTATGCACCTGTGGGATCAACTAAGTGCTAGCTAGGGCATTCAAATTATAACAATAGGATAATTTCTATAGTGTCACTTTTTTGGGGATACCCTGTATGCGATAAAATATATTAGCCTCTATAAAGTCTTTCATACAGTCAAGAAAATATAAATTAAAATAAAAAACATAAAGTGAAAGAAAGCAAGAGTTTTGCCAGCCTTACCTTAGTCTTTGGGAAGTGCGTTTTGCATCCAGCATGGCACATATCAAAATATGTAATATTGTCTGACCCACAAACTGGAACGAAACGGCTTTGAGAGCATTGGCAGCCTTTATTGCATGTGGCCGTGAGAGAAAGGGATGTTGTTGATGTCACGATTGGTTGTCTAATATCATGATTCGTGCTTCTAAAATGGAATAATAAATTAAGATAGAAAGGTTCTTCTCAAATTCCAAGCAAAAACCTCCAAACATTATACTTTTCAAGCCGTTTAACCAAAACGTTAACAGCTTATTGTACAACACTACCTCGTGGTCCCGTGGTCCAGCGTAGGTATAGGTATAGGCATATGGTATTAATAGCTACAATAATCTGCCGTGGCTTGTGTTTGACTACCTGAAAAATATATCTCAAACGTGGGAGTTCAGTGCAGCTAGTATTCTAGTACAATAAGCTGCCGTGATTTGTGCCTGAACAACCTGAAAAAGATATCTCAAACGTGGTGATCCCGTAATCAGTGTAGATAGTATTCTACAATAACTTGCCGTGGTTTGTGTTTGAATTACTTGAAAAAGATATCTCAAACGTGGTGGTCCAGTGTAGGTAGTATTGTACAATACGCTGCCGTGGTTTGTGCCTGAACTGCCTGAAAAAGATATCTCAAACGTGGTGGTCCAGTATTCTACAATAAGCTGTCGTGTTCTGTATCTACTATCTTCACTGGACCACCACTTTTGAGATATTTTTAGGTAGTTCAGTGGTGGCTTAGCCGTGTACCTTCACTTGACTTCCATGTTTGACATATCATTCCAGTAAAGTTATACAGTACTTACATTTCATTATAAGGTGTCGTCACCCCAGCAAGGTTGATATTATTGCAGCCGACGATGAGAAAAGACAGCGGGGCAATGAAACCGAGCGTGCGCAGTATAAATATGAAGAGTGCGGACTTTTTGCACATTTCTTTAAGGGGAAATTTTTTCAGAACCATTGAGCCAATAAGAACACCAACTAAAAATGACGAGTTATATAAACATACTTAATATGAAGCAGCAAGTTCTAGCTATAAAGGCTTTTCTCTTGCGAAACTATTACATTCTGGAGAGCTGCAGTTCTGAACTGTTCTCCCAATAAGTTCAGTAAGGATCATCTCGTATCGATCAAGTGTTACCACGGGAGGAAACCTAAACTAAACTGACTCTATTTATACTGGATTAGTTCTATCAGTTCTAAACTGTTCTCCCCAGAGGTTCAGTAAGGATCATCTCGTATTGATCCAGTGTTACCACGGGAGGAAACCTAAACCAAACTGACTCTATTTATACTGGGTATTTCTATCAGTTCTAAACTGTTCTCCCCATAGAAATTCAGTGAGGATCATCTCGTATTGATCCAGTGTTACCACGGGAGGAAACCTAAACTAAAGTAACATTATTTATTCTGGATAGCTCTATCAGTTCTAAACTGTTCTCCCTATAGAGATTCAGTGAGGATCATCTCTTATTGATCCAGTGTTACCACAGGAGGAAACCTAAACTAAACTGACTCTATTTATTCTGGATAACTCTATCAGTTCTAAACTGTTCTCCCTAGAGGTTCAGTAAGGATCATCTCGTATCGATCAAGTGTTACCACGGGAGGAAACCTAAACTAAACTGACTCTATTTATACTGGATTAGCTCTATCAGTTCTAAACTGTTCTCCCTAGAGGTTCAGTAAGGATCATCTCGTATCGATCAAGTGTTACCACGGGAGGAAACCTAAACTAAACTGACTCTATTTATACTGGATAGCTCTATCAGTTCTAAACTGTTCTCCCTAGAGGTTCAGTAAGGATCATCTCGTATCGATCAAGTGTTACCACGGGAGCAAACCTAAACTAAAGTAGCATTATTTATTCTGGATAGCTCTATCAGTTCTAAACTGTTCTCCCTAGAAGTTCAGTGAGGATCATCTGTTATTGATCCAGTGTTACTACAGAAGGAAACCTAAAGTAACTTTATTTATACTGGATAGCTCTATCAGTTCTAAACTGTTCTCCCTAGAAGTTCAGTGAGGATCATCCCTTATTGATCCAGTGTTACCACAGAAGAAAACCTAAACTAAAGTAGCATTATTTATTCTGGATAGCTCTATCAGTTCTAAACTGTTCTCCCTGGAAGTTCAGTGAGGATCATCTCCAATGAGGAGGATTATCTCTTTCCTCTCCCTTACCTGCCATGCTTGGTGTCATTATACCTCCCATAACATAACCAATTTTCTCCGGGAGTACCCCAAACTTCAAGAAAAGAATTTTTGGATAGAATGGAACCAATGCTCCAACGTACAGCAATGTTGCTGTCAAACCCAGCGTATTGAAGAGAAACGTCCAGTTTGTTAACAGATCTTTGAGCTCCGGCAAGATCATTTTTAAAGTTGGTTTCGCGGGATTCTTCACTTTTCTAATATTTCCTTTTCTGATGTGTTCCTCGCGCATTTCCCGCGATCCGGGAAGTTCTCGTGGAAATCCGAGAATAAGGATTGAGAAAATGAAAATGAAAATTCCAAAAATTACAAACCCTAACCACCATGCACCTATCCACCTCGGATCACGTGCCGTCAAGTTGACACCTTCAGGCTGAAAAACAAATAATAGATACATCATGAGGCGGTCTATTTTTATATACAATATTTTACGAACGAGCACAGCGAGTGAGTAAAATATTGTTTTTAACACGATAAGATAAAAGTCATATCTTCAAGCCACCGTGTAATGTTCTGTTTATTATACAGGATGTATAAAAAAAACTGAACAGATTTGAAATTGCTCTCAATTTCGCAAAACACCTATTTGTATCTGGTTTTTTTTTTATATATATAGCTTCTTTGGGTACTTATAATGTAAATTAATGAAAAAAATTTCCCGAACTCAAATTTTGTGAACCAGGGGGCTGTGTCTTTTCCAACAAACTAAAAATGGCTCGCGCACAAAATTTAAAAGCTGTAATAATATTTTGAGTTGATAGATTGAAAATTTGTCGGGTTTTTAATTACTGTACAAAATTTCAGACAATTTGGTTTAGTTTAAGCCCCTTAACTATTCACGCAAAGTTAAAATTTTCCCGAAAAATCAGCTATTTGCATGCTTAATTAATGCATTTGCCTAATTTGCATATGTCAGCAATATGCAAATTAGGTAAAGGCATTAAATTAAGCATGCGAAAGGCTGACTTTTTAGAACAAAATGAATAGTTAAAGGGCTTAAACTAAACCAAATTGTCTGATATTTTGTACAGTAATTAAAAACCCGACAAATTTTCAATCTGTTAAGTTAAAATATGATTACTGCTTTTAAATTTTGTGCGCGAGCCATTTTTAGCTTGATGGAAAAGACACACTCCCCCTGGCTCACAAAATTTGAGTTCGAGAAATTTTTTTCATTATTTTACATTATAAGTACCCAAAGAAGCTATATATATAAAAACCCAGATACAAATAGGTGTTTGCGAAATTGAGACCAATTTCAAATCTGTTCAGTTTTTTTTTATACACCCTGTATAGTACCAAGCAAAGAATTGTATCAATACTAAAAGTCACGTGATCGATATCTTCACTAGTGAAGATATGGAAAATATGTCACTGTATTTCTCAGTATCTCACTCTCTACTATATAATAAAAGATTTTATGTGGTGGTTTGAAAACTACGGTGGTTTCGCTTGTTTGCGTTGAATTTTGGATTTTATACCCTATTCAGTCTTATTTGCAAGATAGATAGATAGATAGATAGTTTATTTAGATATATCATTGCAGCCAAAAAGGCTAAATTCAGTATATAAATTTACATGATATAAAGGTTAAAAGTAATTAAAATAGTGATAAGCTAATTTTACATGTAATATCCAACAACTATATAAACTAGGATTAAAAAGTTTTCCTACTTGAATTACTAAATATAAAACATAAAACTATTTTTTAGTTTGTCTGTTTTACACACACTGACAGGAACATTAAACATGTGTCTATTCCTTAGTCCAATATCGATTTCGTATCTGCATGAGATTGGCTGACGAACGAGTTTCGCAATACCCTACTGTTTTCTAACAAACAATAAAATTATATCTTACCTGTTCTAGATCAACGTAGATGCTCAGGAATTTGCCGCCGAGTATCATCCCGAGGCCTGGACCGAGGAACGTGGCACAAGTCCAGATCCCCAAATAAACAGGCATATGTTTGGGGTGGACATTCTCATCCAGGTATGCAGGCACTAATGGATAGAAGGGTGATATCCCGGCGCCCATAATTAATTGCGCCAAAACAAATATTGCCATATAATACCAACGACTGTCACTCTCCAGAGAGCACTGCGCCTTCTCGCCTTGTGTTATATTACCGCTGAAACATGTAGGCCCGCGAGGACCTGTGAGGGAGGGCTCATATTGACCAATGAGAAAGTGCGGGAGAGCGTAGAGTAGTGCACTAAAGCCTGATGGGAAACAAAAATGGAATTTATATTAGTCGGTTTGAGTGTAGGAAACGGTGACACAGCAAGTGTACGTTTTCTGGAAGGTTTTAAAAATGTATATACGAGATTTATGCACGTCTAACCCCAAATGTAATTTTTGGTATGTGTAATATTGGAGTCATTCTAGGAAGAAATGTAATGTATCTTTATAGTAAAAAACTTCATCTTGATCAACTTTTTCACTGTCAAAATTTCTGGATATGATGTCATTAGGTGAATTTTTGGAACAAAAAACAAAGGAAAACTAATTTGCAATTCACCTAATGACATCATATCTGGAAACTCTGACAGTGAAAAAGTTGATCAAGATGGGATTTTTTTATTATAAAGATATATTACATTTCATCTTCGAATGACCTAAATATTACACATACCAAAAATGATATTTGGGGTTAGTGGCACATTAATAAAAACAGGTGTCCGTGTTAGAGAGGTATCCGTAGTATAAGGAAGGAGAGTCTAATTGAGAGGCGTATTTGCGATGAAAAGTGTTCAAAACTTAAAATTTTTTGGCGTTCCTCTCAGAATTACTTTATTTTGTAGTTTACACAGTTAGCAACCTTTTTAAATGTATCTGGCGGTTGAGAAACACAAAATAATAGATAAATATTGTCAATTATCGTTGATGCCATAAAATTGACGCCATATTTATACAGCACTATAAGAAAAATTTGCGTTACGTGCTGTTGTCAACAGAACAGAACAGAACAGAACAGAACAGAACAGAACAGAACAGAACAGAACAGAACAGAACAGAACAAAAAACAAAATTATTTGCCAATTGCCAGCTTACTCAAAAGAACACCGCCTCCTCCAACCCAGCGAATCTTGTTCCCATAGTCACCATAGAAACTGAGAAATAATACGATGACCAAAGCTGTGATATCATTGGCGGCCATAATCACACCCAGTTCCTTGGATGTTAAACTAAATCTCTTCTCAATACTGGGTAAGGTTAGAGTTGTAAGACCCATGACCACAAGTGCTGAAAATAAGAAATTTATCATTTTACTTTATTAAAACCTGCCTAACATATAAATAACACAATACACCCTTTCGAGTTTCGACTAATTACCGCGTCATTTGGCCTGGGAGCTTCGCTTTCATGAATCGCTTTCATGACGTAATTATCGGTTTTAGTAAGCATTTTGGATGAGTTCTTTAGATGTTTAAACCTCTTCTTTATCACTGGATGAGGTTAAAATGTGATGAGATATGTTTGTTTATATCATGGATAATAAAATAAAGTTTATTTTATTATCCATGGTTTATATAAACATGCATGTATTGTGATCTACATGAGATTGGGGACGAACGACATTTTTTTAATATCCTGCAGCAATTATACAAAGCTCACCAATCTTAGATTAAATTTTATAAAAAATCTTTGTAAAATAAACTCTTCGTTTTCTTCATTTAATCTTCTAAACCATTAATAATTCATGAGGAAACACAAAGAAAAATCATAAGTGTGTCGTATCTTTATATGTGATAGAGATTTTCCTTGATTTACATAAACTTTTACTTTGATTTTCTCGACTTGCACAAGGTATATTTTTTTAAAATTACTTCGTCAATGAACTTACTAGATCGATCGTTTTTGAAGCAATTTAAAACATTCGCAGTGCGTGTTTTGTCAGATATAAAGATACTCGGCTTCGCCTCGTAGCTTTATATCTGATAAAGCACTGTTGCTCATGTTTTACTAGTAATAGTGCATCACATAGGTACATCAAAATATTTTTACTTATATAATGGCTATAGCCTATGCATGACAAATCAATCATGACTGTGGTTGCAAAATATAGTTAGGATGTTCTGACAATTTTGAAACTCATTTAAAGTAGGATATTGGTAGTAGTTTGTCAGTTCTTGTGATTTTTATGTATGTAACTATATATACCGAAACTGGTTGATTATTATTATAATGTTATATTGTCACACAAGACAATGTTTATATAACTCGCTATCAAAATCAAATAGATCACTTTTCATTCAACACTCATTTTTATGCAAGCATTATTGTCTAGCGAGATTACACAATGTTATGACTGGTAAGACTCTGATATTTAATTTTACTACATCTGTGCACTCGGAGGAAACCAAAACACGTACAGGCATGAAGAATGGATTTTGACATTATGCGGCGTATGACGTTATCCGATTAGAACATTTTGTAAGTACGCACGTTCCATTTCCTGAAAAGGTTTGGTTCAGCCCTTCAGCCGCAGAGGACGTGTTATAATTAGTTCAGGACGTGCTCATACACGCAATGTGCTAAGATTTCTTGTCGTTGAAAAATTGTTCTTTCATAGGCGAATTTGTACTCAAAATTTCGGGCTAAGAATTTTATAGAATTATTTCTCGTGTTAACACGTACACTAAATATAACGTGTCAAAATAAGATCCAGAAACGAATCAAGTTTTAAAATAGTATACTAATATCAATTTATATCAATATCGTGCTAATTTTCTTCGCTACCAAGCACCATGCAAGTTGAGAAAAATATGGAATATTATAAACCACAGTCTTTCAAAACATGGTTTGGAAACTCCGCTAAAGTCTTTGTTCTATCTTTTTGTTCGCGTTTATGCAGTTTTGTGCACGGTGCACGGTCAATGAACACATTGTATTTCAGTATAATGAGCGAATCATCCAATAGCAACGTTTCAGTCAGTCATTCAACCATGCTATATAAATATTAATAAACCTAAAACAAAGGATATGCACGGTGTATAAGGTACGGCTCAACAATGGTGATACAAAGTTAAAACAATTCTCGTCGTCTACAAGGGGTAGAACCTTTTGGTACATTTATTTTGAACTACTATAGGGATTAACTTTATTTATACTGGATAGCTCTATCAGTTCTAAACTGTTCTCCCAATATATTTCAAAACCTCATTAATAATTCATGACGAAATACACTGAAGAAAAATCATAAGCGTGTCGTATCTTTATATGTGATAGAGATTTCCGGCAGATTTACATAAACTTTAACTTTGATTTTCTCGACTTACACAACGTGTTTTTGAAAATTACTTCGCCAATGACAAAACACTGCAGCATGCTCATGTTTTAAATAGTACATAGAGGTCTTCTAACAATAGTACAATGTCTCAGTCTGTGGTCACATGGGTCACTGAACTGATGTATATATGCATATGCACCATGGCATGCATGCACCAATATCCCAACACAGTAAAAATACAAATAATCATTCATCTTTACCTTGACATACAGTGAACAAAACCACCACAAACAGAAAACATTTTGGTCCATTAAAAATCTGTAAACAATCCGGTCGAAATTTGCCCCAACCAAATTTCAACTGTTTCTTTTTATCAGAACTGGCAATAAATGGTACCTCTTCCTTTTGGTTCGAGTTTTTGTTTTCGTCCATGACGCTAGAAGAAATTTAAAAAAAAAATATTAAATATCTTCCATGATGTATTTTAATACATGAACACTATCTCTTATCCCTCAGGTATATATGTCTAAATTTCCCTAGGAACGTTTTGGCAAACAGCGGAAATGCATGTAAACTGATATATAGATGTCTGAAAATGTGACGAAACAATATTTCAATACATCAACACATCAGTCCAGAGGTCATGTTTTTATACGTTATGCAGTTATTGGAAAAAAAAGTTTAAATCTTCCTAAATCTCACATATTTCATAATTATCTAAACAAATACACACTCAATCATAAACTTGCAAGATGTAGCTATTTTGCACTTCACTTTGTTGAACTAGAATACTGCAATCGTTCACGATATTATATTGAGAAGTTGGGAATTCACTTCCCCCTTTTTCAATGTTGAAATGCTATTATCGTCCTGGCAGAAATATAACATGACCCAACAACCGCAAGTGTCTTATAGACCCATTGTACTGACGTCGCAAATCCTTAGAGTGTCCTCCAGATTATCCCTAACAATATCTGTTCGGGTACAACAACCACATACAGCGCAAAAATTAACCATTTTAATACAAAATTATTATGAAGTTTTACAAAATTTGCTTTGTTTACAAAAGTTATATTATGCATAGATTGCTAATTTGTCCTCCAGATGCATCATCACCGGCGTTGTGACGTCATGTCCAATGGTCTATTGGCATTCAAAATCTAATGCATGATATTTGAATAACACAATTTTACAGCACAAAGCAACATTGAGATGGGGGCAGGGGGGTTTGTCTCAAATACTTTGTGGACGATTGTGAGTTTGGTGGATAATCCAAGTGAGCAGATATATACACAATTTAAGACCTAATTACCAGGAACGGTTACGAAAAATGCATCACTACAATCCTTCACAAAAATTATGAGACTACCCATGTGAAAAGTGTAATTTCCTCTCCCCTCCCCCCTACAGAGCAATGTTGCTCGTGATTGAGTTGAAATTCTTAATAACCGTCAACATTGTTTTGAAGGGAGAGGGGGGAAAGGACGAGCTCTTGATGGTAGAAATTTGCTGATTTTATAGATAAATATGCAAGTCTCAATATATTTTGTGAAGGATTGTAGGTCCTCTGTCAGGAATTGCAACCGTTCCTGGTTAGGTCTTATATAACTTACATTGTGTATATAGCTACTTGCCCATGACTTGGATTATCCACCAAACCCAGCATTCACGAATCGTAAACTGAATGCTGTACCTTGTTACTATATGGTTGTGTTTAGTAAGTGCACTACAAAATAAAATTCGAAAATTTTAACCCAGAAATGCGAGTAAAATCATGGACCCATTGGACCCATATGCATGAATCAAATATTGAGTAAAATTACTGCATGTATGATGGATTTGAACAGTTTTCTTCGTATACTCGTACGTGTATAGATAAAAAAGCAAAAGTTTAAAATCTATAATAATTACTTCACGAGCATGCAGTGATTAACCGTGGCTGAACATTGTATCATATGGCTGTTCCATCTGCACATGATTATGGAGAACAATCTTTAATTGTCATTATAGGGTGGCTATTGACATAGAACGGAAACATTCCCTTTTTCAGCTTCCGATTTATGACGTAAATAATGCTAATTAACATTGAAACTTATGTCTATCACTTAAGACCTGCCCAGGCATGTTCGGCTTTGATTGACGACTACATGTTCATTTGACAGGCTAAAACCCATATATATAGCGATGCCTGCGGAGGAGCCTGTATATAAATGATAGGTCTAATTTTAATGGCCATCGATATCTTGTGCAATGAAAGAGACGTGGATAGTCATATAATCTTGAACAGAACTGGTTTTAACTACACCTTTCCTTCTATGAAAAATTCCCTTATGATAAATTCCATGTTAAATAATACTGCCCTTCTTAACTTAACCTTTTTTTTTTATTTATTTTCCCATGTATAGAAATCTACTTAAAATATATTACAATAATTTGAAGATTTTGGGCTAGAGACCTACTAGAAATCTTCATAGACTTTTTATTTTAGGTCTCTAGTTACTGTTCGTTTTATCACATAATCAATTATTTACAGTCAATCAATACATAATATGTAAAATCAGAAAGTTTTGAAGTATATATATTATATTTACAAGAGAGAAAAAGAAGTGGGAATGTTCGTATTATATAAATTAATAGTAATGTTGTAGATGCATTTAATTTTACAATGTCAATGACTGGGCTACAATAGACTAAAGTATATGTCATTATATACATTAGAGAAGTAACCCTGCTCCCAATGTTGAGCTTCTGTCATAGTAAATTACCAAAAGTTTGTTTACACGGCGTTGTTTTGTCAACGTGCGTGCGTACATGCATTAATTTGCAATATTGGCTGGAATGGTCTCAGCATGCAGGCCATGAGATTGCATCTATTCTTCGTGTAATGTACTTCTGCTAACATTAAATCCAATACAATGGGATTAAAGCTCATATTTCCCCTTGAATAATCTTTCCCAAACGGATGGCCCTGCAGGCGTTAAGGCGATATTTCATACGCACGTCATGCACGCACTATATAAAACGTTTATTTATAGTAATATATAAAGCTAAACTGACTTTATACTGAATGTCAGTTCTATCTAAAATGTTCTCCCTCTCTTCATTATATGTTTAGTACAAGAAGAGAACTTTTTTTATTAATATTCCAAGCTATAGCCCTGCATTGAAAAATAGTCAGTTTAAATTGCTGGAATTAATACTTCAAAGATTTTCAATTAAAAAACACTTGATAGACACTTTGCAATAACGTATTATATATTATGTGTGGAATTTCTGAGACCTCCCCTTTTCATATATTATATCTTTGGACAGAGCAGTTTGTGTTTTCTAAATTATCTCACAATCCACCATCGAGTTTCTCAACGGACTATTGTCCAAGGGATCTCCGCCTGTTTCAGTATCGGATGCACGGACAAAGTTATTAACTATATGCTTTGACAGGACACGATAAGAAATGTGAAGTTAGTTTTAAAAATGCTTCCTTAGCCTTAGGCTTAATGCTGTGCTGAGTGGTTATATTACTACCTTAAAAAATAAGCAGAAACTCGACGTCGAAAAAAGGCTACTCACTCTTGACGAAGGGCCTTCGCTCGAAACGTCGAGTTTCTGCTTATTTTTTTTACGGTAGTGATATAAGCACTCAGCATTTTCACATTGGTACTATACCAACACTGGTACAGACAGTTTTAGTATATATTCCTTAGGCTTATAGCAGTTTTGCCGGCATAAATTTTTGATATTTTATACCCAATTGTTTGTTTTTTTCATTCTTGCCGGGTGCTTTCTTAAAGAGTTCAAAGATTCATTTTGTTGGTACGCGATATATTAACTATTATTTGAATCACTATACTCAGACTTCTTAATCTTACGATATACATTCTTGTTTAATTTAATGCAAAGTAGTGATAGTTTATAGTTTTTATCCTGCTGATATATCGGATTGCGCAACCTATTACAAAATAACGAGTTATCTTTAACAATAATTAAGTAGCTTCTTCAGTATGATATCTTTTTAAAAATTATTGTGTTGCAAAACAATATGTATACAAACTCCAGAGACACTTCCTTAGTTTTCTCTTTAAATGAAAAAGTACAGTTTAAATGTTTGTGCTCAAAATCAGCATGACATCAAAATGACTACAAGGCGACACATTTATATAGTTTAATTTAAAAATATAATGAAAAATAGCATCAGCTATGTAGGTAGTCCTAGAGGAAAACTTTCATCAATTTTTTGTGAGATATTTGCTTCTAGCTACACTAGCTCGACCTGCAATTTTTCTCAGAGTATGAGATTATTCCTTGAAGGGTCACTGCATAGATATATATCGGTCGATTGCTGGAATGTATAGGTTCATTCCTTAACTCATTCCATTCTGAACATATAAGGATTTATAGTCTGGGTTTCTGGATCACAGTATATCTGAATCAGTTCCCTTAAACATTCCTTACATCTTTCAAAACTTAAAATTTGCAAAATTCCTATTTTGATCACAGAAAATTTGATAGTGTAAACGCGGCCAGGCTATATGAGAGTTGATGAGATTTGGCAGTCACGCATTATTACAGGGGACATTAATTTTCAAGCTCTAGATTAACGGGAACGGTTTGATATAAGTGTTCCAATTACGCTTTAACTTAAGTAAAATATAATTTACGTGTTGGGAAAGCATTAAGAACAGCTATACACTTTCAGCTAACCTAATCTCATCCTCCGGTTTGTCTGGGCTTAACAGTGAATCAACTTCATTCCAACGCAAATTGGTTGTTCTAGTAAACCTATTATTATATGGGAATAAGCCGCTGAAGATAAGAACTAAATTTCAATCTAAGGCAATGTAGTTTTCCAGTTAATAATATACCGACGTCTTGACTCTAAATCCACTAGGTGTCTAAATCTTTATAGGGGCACAGCGATTGCTGATCATAATATCAGTCGTCTCAATCTTATCACCTGGCTATCATATTGCCGGGGAATGTTATGACTAATTATGTAACTGACTTTGCCCTATAGATGTAAATTAATGAACTATACGTATAAAGCTGCAAATTCCCAAAGCTACGTTATGAATATTGGTTGGTTTAATCCTACCTGAGCATATGAAATCAAATTTAGAATATACTACTTACCTGGCTGGTTTCTGACAAGAGCTGTTAGCTGCTTTAACGATTCAGATTCCTTCAATCTTTCTCCTCTTCACCCGCAATAATTGGTTATGCCAGAACGATTTCATTTTCAATAGCTTTTGTAGTGGGCGCAATACTTGAATTTAATTGTTTTGTCATGCATTTAAAAGTCTATAGTGTCTTTCCAAAAGACAATCACTTCACTGAGGAAAGTGGGTATAGGAATGTGGCTTGTTAATTAAATTATTGATTGATGGTTATATTACTATTTGAACTGACGAGATCCAAGCTTGCCAATCCAGAATAGAGCAGATATATAGTGTGTGTATTATTAGACACAGTAAGACCTGGGTCGAACTTTTAACTTTTCAGTCATGTGCCGAACAAATGCAAATTAGCTCAAGCCGAGTCATAAAGCATGTCTAAACCAGCCCAGCCGATAATTTTTTATGTTGCGAAACTCAAGCATTTACCTGACGGGAAGGGAACAGTTTTCGTTTTATCATAGTGTCACATTATCGCCTGAAACCGTTAATGACTAATGTGCTTATATACAACGAAGTTTCACAGCAAAGAAAATTACTAAATTTGCCACAATTCGTTCTTGAAATGTTTAACAAATTAAGCAAATTACCTCACTATGACGTAACAATGCATAACGAGTTTCTAGTGAAAGGAGCTTCTGTTGTATATGTCGAAAAAAACTACAAATATATGTTGTACAGTGTGTATCAAAATAATTCGAATCCAAATTTGACAGACTGCTGTTTATAAAATACTAAAGTAAACCATATAATTTTTATATGGCAATAAAGAATAGCCTATTAGGTTTCCGATTATATCGTTCTTATATCAATAGGATCAAAAATGACCAAGAAATCGTGTGTTAAAACTGGTTGCTCGAAATCAAATTTTTCCGCCGATGGGAATTCGAAGTGAGACGTACAAACAAAAGATAATGCAAATTTAATTAATCAACAAACTGTTATGTAGCAAAATTTACATAAATTCGTGTTCATTTAAAGAGATTTAAGCTCCTATGCCTTAAACATGTTGAACGAGAAGAAATTCGCGTTAAATTTGCATTTTAGTTTTCAGTGATGATTAGCATTTCAAAGCCTTGTGGGACTAACTTTGAAAGAAAAAATGTCCAATTCCCATCGGCGGAAAATTGTGATTTTTATGGACTTTTTTTGTCAAAGCAATACTCCTTCATTTTCCAACTAAATGACGCGTACAGCATGTCATTTGAAAGGTAAATAAATGAACTTAACAATGGTGTAAAAACCAACCGAATTTGTCAAATATATTCTGCGTTATTACACGCCAAATTTGGATTCGAATTATTTTGATACACACTGTATATGTCGACAAACATATAGAATCAAATATCTATAAGGGCCGAGTTACACTATACACAACTTTTGCCTAAGACTGTCGAATGCCACCTGCTTATGAACACGAGTTGGATGCTGTGTCAATCTAGCCTGCTCGCAGACGTTGTATTTCTTACACCAAGCGACGAAGTGTAAATCAAGCACACAACTCACCTACGACAACATATAAGCGAGTTGCATGTGGGCTTGATTTACACAGTACATCTCAAGTTGTAAGCAAGTTGCACGCGACAGTTTTAGGTAAAAGTTGTGTGGTCTGAATCGACCTTAAGGGTTATAATGTTTTTCAGAAAGCCATTATCCAATTCCATTATCCAAGTCATTGGATCCAGTCAGTCATAGTGAAGATAATTTGCATGTCAAACATTGTGGCAGCGTTTACACTGTACCGTTTTCGTAGCGTTCTCGTATTGTTCGAGAGAACTAGACTATTGTCTTGCGTTCCCTTGAGGATTAAGAACAATACGAGAACGCTACGAAAACGGTACAGTGTAAACGCTGCCTGTTAGATATCTCAAGAAAGAAACGGTTTGACGTATTTGTAAATTTTCATCCAACATTGTTGGAGTGGTTTCAACGATATCTTACAATTTAACTGTCAGTTCACAATTCCGTTTCACAAAGAAATCCTTTCTGTCATGCTTTTATTGATCAATATTATGATTTAAGGTTTAACTATATTTTTAGTAAAAAATGCTGCGGAGATATTTGCTATAAGTAGGCGATATTATATCCTTGAACTCTGAAAACTAAGAGGTCTCTATGCCATTTGCTTCTTGTGAAAACACTGCAATAACTTGCGATTTGATGTCGCGGTAAAGGGCATATGCTCGCAGGCTATCATCGCGGATTTTCAGGCTTTCTCCGCAGATACATAAATAGACGTGGTGCTTCTATAAAGACTGCTATATTGATCGCCAAGCAATGCTACAGAGAATTTAAGATACCTAAGGTGGTCCTTACACGGTTCTTTAAGAATGACGATGTCAAATTACTGATAAAGCTGTCCAATATACAATTATTTACGTTTTTTTAGGGTTGTGCCGGATCCGGAAATCCGTATCAATTTAGGTTTCCTCCTGTGGAGGCTCTGGAGCAGTTATTAGAGAGTTTGAGCAGGACAACGAAGTACGAAGACGAAGGCATACTTGACAATTTTTGCCGTCTGCACATTATCTTGCGCATACTGAGTTGGACGTCAATGGTGGTTGCTCAACGTGTCTTCCCATGTGTCGCTAGCGCTGTTTATGAATACTGACCATAATTCTTGCCCTGATCCAGAAAAAAACAGCGAGACATGAAACTATACCCCGCCTTTGTCCTTCTGCCTGCGTGAAGAACGAAGTTCACAACGAATTTTGCCAAAATATTTGTTGTGAACGAAGGCAGAAGAACGAAGACGGGATATGGATTCAAGTCTCGCTGTTTTATCCTGATCAGGGTAAGGATTTGGGTCAACATTCACAAACAGCTAGACATGAATCTCTAATATGTCTTCACTCCTGACCCTAAACTCAGAATGCGCAAGGTAATGTGCAAGACAGGCAAAAATTGTCAACCACGTCGTCGTCGTCCGACTTCGTTGTCTTGCTCAAACCATAGATATAGGAGATCTAGATTGCTAACGCATACCTAGCGCAGGCGGGGCCGACATGATAAATCCAAGATGGCGGTACAAGAGGGCAAAAAGACTATAGATTCTATTACGAAAATCAAGATTTTTGCATTTTTTGCCGTCGCATTGTTTTGAAACTTATTCGGTCAAATTTTATGGTAAAGAGAAACTTACCGCAAAGATTTTGAGCATATATATGATTGAATTGCATGAAAACTCGCAAAATTATCCAGCGATAAAAGTTCGTGTATAGTACTGATATAGTACTATATATGTAACTTGTACAGTTTTGCTTTAATTTTTGCTCACTATTTGCATGGAAAGCAAATTATAACAGACCATAGATGATAGACCCTTATCCAGTGCTCTCATCAGTTTACTTCTCTAACAAGCAAGGAG